GCCTCAGCCTCACGTGCTGTGGAGTCCTGGCCTGAAAACTCATCTTCCCCAGCCACCCACCCTCGAGGCAGGGCCAGGTCACCTCACCTGGACCTCTCACTGCTCAGATCGTTCGCTCTTCCTGTCTTGTGTCACGCTGTGTCTTTCTCCCTCTCTGTCACCGGGATTTGTCCAGTTGATTCGGCACCTACTTTGTCTTAGCTAAGGCCCCCATGGCAGAACACCACAGACCTGGTGGCTTCAACAACAGAAAGTCCTGGAGGCTGAAAGTCTCAGATCCAGGTCTGGGCTGGGCTAGTTTCTCCTGAGGCCTCTGTCCTTGGCTTCAGGCGGCTCTTCGCTGTGTGGCCTTTTCTCTATGCACTTCTCTCACCTAGGTTAGGAGTCCCAGGTGAATCTGCTCCTCTGGCCACCCCAGGCCTAGTGTCCTCACTGATATGTCAGCCCTCTTACGTGGCATCAGAACAGCCTGTGATGCTACACATTGTTAAGCAGTGACCTCCTGTCCCCATGCTGGGGATGGAACCCAGGACCTCCCACATGCTAGGCAAGTGGCTCTGCAACTGGGCTGCACCTCAACCTCCAGTGACCGCTTTTAACCCACACTGTTGGCAAGCTCAGCACGGCTGGCTTTGCCCCTCGCCAGCCTCCTCTCTGCACCCGACCCTTGAGCCAGACCATCGTGCCTCTTTCCCATCCCTTGCATGTGTCGTGCCTGACCTAGAGGATGTCTGTCCCCACAAGTTCCACGCCTGGGAACAACCGTGTCTGTGATTCTGTGCTGCATTCTGCCTCCATCACTCCAAACCTGTGTCAGGCAGACATGTCCACACCACCCTCCTCACCTCAGAGGACATTCTCTGGCTTGTCCAGCTGCAAGCAGCCACGCCTCCTGACTGCTCTCACCCTGCCCCTCCCACCCTCGAGGGCCAGCCTGTTGGACTTCAGTGTATCCACTGTGCTCCACCACTGCGCTGTCCCAGCCAAGCCTCCTACCCTTCTCCCCGCCCTCATGGTTGAGCTGCTCCCCCAGCTCCCTGCAGTGATCCAGGAATGGTTTTCCTGGCCTCTTTCCAAGAAGCAAGGTAAGCAATGGTTGAAAGTACACTGAAGCCAGGGGTACAGCTCAGCAGCGCAGTCGAAGGTCCTGAGTTCAAGCCCCTGTCCAAAACAAAGGAAAAAAGAAAGTACCCTCAAGCCAGACTGGGCTCAAATCCAGTTTTTATGTGTGTGGCCTCAGGCCACTTACTAAACTCCTCAGCCTGTTCTCAACCGTAAAATGAGAAGGGTAATTGCAGCCACTTGGGGGATTGTGATGAAAGCTGAAGAGTTCTGAACCTTGGGCCGGCAGCCAGAGTCCCCATCATGTCCTCACCATGGGCTCTTGGCTGAGTGATCTGACCTCTGAGACACAGACCCTCATAAGATGGGAGAGCTCTCATCTCATATATGTGAAAATATAGTCCGATATTCCAGTGCCTAGCCAAACACGTAGAAACTTTTGGCAGTTGGCAGTGTTAATCATTATTACTTCTAAAATGCAAATCTGGTCACAACACTCCTAAAAGCTTGCAACTCCGCTGTGGCTGCCCACTACTTCAGAGATAGAGACCAAAGTCCTGCCCCAGCCCCGACAGCCTCAGGGGCCTGTCCCTATCTGCTGCTTCGCATTCCACACAGCTGTTCCACTCGGACTTTCCTTTAAGCCCCTCTCATCACCTGGTCTGTGTACACGCTCCTCCACCTACCTGGAGCACTGTCCCCTCTCCCATCGATTCACTCCCACCCTTCAGAGTTCGGCTCAGGGCCACCTTCTTAGGGGAGCCTTCCTGGACCTCCAGGGTGATGCCGGCCCACCTGGGGTCATGCCTTAACCTTCACGGCTCTTCTGGATGATGTGGCTTTTAAGGTCTGCGACCTCGGGAACTCTGAGGACAGAGGCCATGCCTTGCTCCACTCAAATCCCTGTGAGCTCCTAGCACACAGGGCAGTGTTCGTTTGGCATGTGGTAGTTACACAGCCAATATCTGAGGATGAACGAGAGACTTGCTCCGGATACTCCTCAGCACCTGCAACAGGGGCTGGGACCCGTAGAGGGATGTGGGGCCCAAGAGTCACCAGAAAAAGAGAAGGCATTTCTGGCTGCTAGCTTAGGCCTGAGACCAGGAGGGATTAGCGGGCACGCCTTGCTGCCAGCAGCCACGCCTTGCTGCCAGCAGCCACCCAGACCACCTTCCAGAGCACAGAAGGCGGTGTCAGCTATCACAAGCCTCGGCCAGCCAGCCCTACACCTGCTGTGTTTAACCCTTAAGGTTCCTGTCAGCCCAAGGAGGAAGAGGAGGCATCAGCAGAAGAGGTCAAAGATTAGAGATGATGTGCCTGGCTCAGGGTCAGGTCCAGGCAGGGAATGAGATCCTACCCAGAGCTATAGGCTGCCCAGCTCCACAGGCCCTGGATTCCATCGCTGAGTTCCTGCGCCTTTGTACAATTGGGCCTGCTTCTGTGAGCATGTTTAGACAATGGAGCTTCAAAGCAGACAGATGCCTACCTATGGGTTCAAGGCAGGACCTAGGCTAGCCTGGTTGGTCTCAGTCTCTCTCTCGGGCAAACACCAGGCAGCCAGGGACCCTCCACTGGGGACAGGTGGGAGGGGACTCTGGGAGGTCTCTGAGCCTGAAGGGACAACCCTGACTTCTTTCTGCCTCAGTTTCCTCAAATGTTGCATCGAGGCAGTGCTGGGTTGGAGTTGGACTCTGGTTTCAGGTCCTGACATTCTTCCGGGGATCCTGTCTCCATTCCCTTTCCCCGCTTTGTCTTTGAAGTGCTACTTTTTTTTTTTTGTTTTTTTTTTCTCCCGTACAGGGAACCGAACTCACGACCTTGCGCTTGCCAGGCAGGCGCTTTGCCGCTTGAAGTGCTACTTTTTTGTCCGTTCATTTGAATCAGAACACATTTGTATGATTTTAAAACCCAATAGATATAAAAGGTTTACACTGAAATGACCAATCGCATTCATTTCTTACATATTTTCAGTATTTTTATATGTAACTAAAAATACATTTCCCTATCCGCTGATACAGCATCCTACAAAAAGAAAGGCCAACGGGTAAATGCTGTGGACAGTAGGTGCCCTGCATTCCACTTCCTTTAGGGACAGATCCGGAAGGTGGCTCCCTCGCAGGGCACAGACACCATCAGTGTGCTTTTCACAGCCGCGCCCTGTGCCATCCAGGAGCACCTCTTGGCAGGTGCAGCAATTACAGCACTATGCAGCCATTCTGTGTCTGCATGACGGGCGAGGTGCATGGACTCCCTGTTCCCGTGGTTCTTTCTCTTCTATTCCTCCCATCTCTCCTCCTCCTTCCTTTTTCCTCTTGTATACCAGCTTGACTCGGTGTAGAATCCACCCCATACCATACACCCAGTAGGGAACCCAGTGCCGTTGCATGTGTACTGCAGCTCCATGCCTACACAGTGCCTGCTGCACAGCGTGATTCTCCAAGAATGAATGGATGAACAAACAAATGACCAGGCATGAGACCTTCAGAGACAGAGAGAGGCTGACTGAGAATCCAGGTACGGGCCCAAGCAGAGACGTGCCCTGGGTGACCTTCACTGGCACATCAGAGAAAAGCCCTGTTGGAAGCCTGGCTGTGTCAGTATCTTGTTCAGTGGCTCAGTCAGGGCTTAGAACTCTCAGCTGGACCAGGCTCTAGGTCAGCTCAGCCAAGCCCCTGCCTGCACCCACGCCCTCTGTCCCTACTTGGGTGATGGCCCAACACCTAGGAGCGTAAGTGGGTAGGACGCCTGACTTGGAAGGCAGCTCTAGATCCAGCCGGGCCTGGGTTCTGCCCTCTCAAGCTAAGTGGCCTTAAATAAGTCACTTTATCTTTCCAAATCTGGGCTTCCTCACTTGGAAAATGCAGTTAAGACCAGCTCCTGTCTCACAGGCCTGTTGAAAGGATCCCATGCGATCCCTCTGTGTGACACGCCTGGCCCAGGCCTCACTCTGGAAAGCAGCTCCCAGAGGGCAAGGGCAGGGGTGGATGTCAGCCTGTCTGAGCTCAGAAAGACCAAGTCCTCATCCTTTCTTTTTCCGCGTAAGAGCAGCAGCAACAGCCAGGGAGGTGGGAGAGTGGGCAGCATGGAAAGAGGTGACAGGCAGTGGCCATCCCCTCAAAATCCACGCTGCAGGGGCCCCACTCCCTGCATACCCCTGCCCAGAAAGCCATCTGACCACCCGTTTCTACCCAGCACCCTGTCCACTCCCAGAGGTTACCTGCAGCAGGCACCCCCAGCCCTAGACATGGCCCCTCTGAATGGGTGGTCTCCCACGGGTTCTCCTGAGTGTCAGGGAGGAGAAGCAGAATCACAGGAAGAGGCAGGACAGGGAGGAAGGAGAGGCCTACGGAGACAGAGGGCCTGCTGAGTCCCCCCGACACCCCCCTTCCCTTGCTCAGTGATATGGCCGTCAGGTTCTCCCAGATGCATTATTCAGTCCTCGGAATGTGCCAGCTCCTGTTACACTGACCACAGCACCTGTCCTGCCCACTCCCCTCCTTGCTTGGAGGACCAAGACTCCCCTCCCACACGATCTGGTGGGCCCTGACACACCCTGGGCTCAGAAGACCCTTCTGCACTTCAGACACAGTGAGGGGGTGCTGCACGGCCTAGGGCAGGTCATGTCCCCTCTGGGGCCCAGTGACCCAAGCATCCAGTTGAGCCAGCTGAGACACAGGGAGGGCCTGGGTAGAGTCAGCACAGTCGTTGCCATGGTGACTCCAAGGCCAGGATATTCCCCAGCACCGGCCTCCCCAGACTCCCCTGCTTGGTAAATAACACCCGCGAACTTTCCACCGCTGCTTGAAGGTGAAACCCAAGGCGGCTCCTCAAGATCAATTATGGATCCACCCTCCCAGCATGCTGGCCCTGTCCCTTCCCAAGCCACTCGGGCCAGTCCTGGCTGTCGGGAGACAGAGCAGGCCGTGTGTCCAGCTGCAGGCAAGGACACCCAGCAGGTTCCTGTATCTCCCAAATCCCTGAACCTGTGACGGAGGCCCCAGGCCCAGTAGGAGCAGGAGGCCATCATGGCGAAGGAGGAAGATGAGGAAAAGAAAGCCAAGAAAGGGAAGAAGGGGAAGAAGGCCCCAGAGCCTGAAAAGCCCAAACGGAGCTTGAAGGGTACATCTCGGCTGTTCATGGGCTTCCGAGACCGCACGCCCAAGATCTCCAAGAAGGGCCAGTTCCGGAGCGCGTCGGCCTTCTTCTGGGGCCTCCACACCGGCCCCCAGAAGACCAAACGCAAGAAGAAGGCCCGCACGGTCCTCAAGTCCACGTCCAAGCTCATGACGCAGATGCGCATGGGCAAGAAGAAGCGGGCGATGAAGGGCAAGAAGCCGTCCTTCATGGTGATCCGCTTCCCGGGCCGGAAGGGCTACGGCCGCCTCCGACCTCGAGCCCGCTCCCTCAGCAAGGCATCCACGGCCATCAACTGGCTCACCAAGAAGTTCCTCCTCAAGAAGGCCGAGGAGTCCGGCAGCGAGCAGGCCACACTGGACGCCTGGCTGCAGCGCTCTGACTCCCGCATGGGCTCCCAGAAGCTGTCTTTCCCGTCCGGGGCGGAGATCCTGCGGCACGGGGGCCGGCTGCGCAGGTTCCCCCGCAGCCACAGCATCTACTCGTCCGGGGAGCCCGTGGGCTTCCTGCCTTTCGAGGACGAGGCGCCCTTCCGGCACGCGGGCTCCCGCAAGTCGCTGTACGGGCTGGAGGGCTTCCAGGACCTGGGTGAATACTACGACTACCACCGCGAGGGCGACGACTACTACGACCAGCAGTCGCTGCACCGCCACGAGGGGCAGGAGCCCTACCTGCCCGGCTACGGTCCCTACGGCGCGGCCTGGCCGCCCTATGCCGACTACCCCCACGGGTACCCGCCGGAGGACCCCTACGAGTACTACCTCCCCGACCCCTACGGCGGCTACTTCGTCCCAGGCCCCGGCTATGGCTACGACGACTACGAGCCCCCCTACGCGCCCCCATCCGGGTACTCGTCCCCCTACGGCTACCAGGGTGGGCTCGCGGGCGAGGCCTACCCCTACAGCTACTACCTGGATCCCTACGCGCCCTACGACGTGCCCTACGCGCCCTACGACCTGCCGTACGAGGCTGCCTACGACGTGCCCTACCTGGGGCCCTACGCTGCCCCCTACGCTGCCCCCTACGCTGAAGGCATCTACGGTGGAGGGGACGAGGCCATCTACCCACCAGGGGCGCCCTACCTTTACCCAGAGGAGCCGGCCTTCGCGTACCCCTGGGCACCACCGCCCATCCTGTCGCCCCACAACCCATACGCCCACCCCATGGATGACATCGTGGAACTGGAGGAGCCGGAGGACGCCAGCGGGGAGCAGCGGGGCACGTCCTTCCGCCTGCCGAGCTCGGCCTTCTTCGAGCAGCAGGGCATGGACAGGCCCGCCCGGTCCAAGCTGTCCCTCATCCGCAAGTTCCGCCTCTTCCCGCGGCCGCAGGTGAAGCTGTTCGGCAAGGAGAAGCTGGACGTGCCCCTGCCGCCGTCCCTGGACATCCCGCTGCCCTTGGCGGATGCGGACGAGGAGGACGACGAGGACGAGATGACCGCGGCGGCCGCGCCGCCCTACGGCCACCCCTACTGGGCCTTCCTCACGCCGCGCCAGCGCAACCTGCAGCGCGCGCTGTCCGCCTTCGGGGCGCCCCGCGGCCTGGGCTTCGGCCCCGAGTTCGGCC